TAAAAAAAAAAAGGAGAAAATCTGCACTATTTCTAGAATAAAATAGCATTTTAATTTGAATGGCATGCTATTATTCTGCTAAAGTAAAAGAAAAAAAAAAGGGGAGAAAAAATAAACATGGTGAAAAAGAAAAACTGAAACTAGGCTATAAATTATGAAACCGAAACTAGGCTATTAATTATGAATGTGAACCAAGACTAGCTAGCCCAAAAATAAACCCACAGAAAATCTCGTTGTGGCCCGTGTTGCCATTTTAGCGTATAAGTAACACGAAGGTTGCGTGCACCGAACGCTGGCAAACAAGGTGAATATAGATTTGGATGGGTTTTATTATAACCTTCTAAGCAGCAGATTTCGACCGTGTTGCCTTGTTCTGACGAAGTTCCGGTACTTGGATACTGTCACAGCTTGTTCTGTTAGAGTAGCTACCCAAACTCAAACACCAGCCAGGTTGCATGATTCAATTTTTTATTTATCACAATTTCTGAGCAAGAGCTCTGAAACAAGAATGGGATTCAGGTTCCAATTTCTAAATCCCATGTGCCGATCCTACCTCTCAAGACGGTCTTCACCCAAAAATCTCTGCCCCGATCCCATTGTGATCCAGTCTCTCAATCCCCATTTCCAAGTTTACCATCGCCCGGTCTTCTCTGATAACCCCAATTACAACATCCCAAGACGGTGGCATTTGGGTCATTCTCATGATCACCACCATAACGTAACAAAGGAAGGAGAAAAAATATTCCAGTTGGGTCTGGGAGCGGATATCGGTTTAGCTACTGCTAAAGCTTTGACTGGGTATTTATCCGGAAGCACCGCTATCATTGCTGACGCCGCCCATTCAATTTCTGACGTGGTAAAAACATAGTCCTGTAAGACTTTATTAGTTAAAACTTGGAAGTCAAGCAATTAATTTTCCTCCATTTTTGTTTGTAGGTTCTTAGTGGGGTTGCTTTATGGACGTTTAAAGCTGCAAAGGCTCCCAAAGACGAAGAACACCCATATGGTTACTTATGATTGTACCTACACGCTACTCCATTGTCTTAATTTTGCTCATATTATTGAATGTTAATTATGCTTTTAAGAGTTTTTTTAATAATAATTTATTTGGTTTCCTAAATTTCCTTGTTTTATGGTTAGGACATGGTAAGTTTGAGACCATTGGGGCCTTGGGAATTTCCTGTATGCTTTTGGCAACTGCTGGTGGTATTGCTTGGCATGCTTTAGAAATCCTAATTGTATGACCACTTTTGTCTTTCTTCCTATTTCTTCTGATTTAAAGAGAATAAGAGTAAAATAAATTTCAATATAAAAAAATGTCCTAAAAATCGAGATATACATGACTGAGAAAAATGGTTATATTTGAATGAAACTGGTTTGGACCTTACAATAAGTCAACCTTCTTTGTGTACAGGGGTTGTTGTCCACTGCTCCTGAAGTAGTTAATAATCATTCATTGGCTCACGGGCAGAGCCATCATCATGGAATTGATATGCATCACCCTATACTAGCGTTGAATGTGACCATTGTAGCAATATGTGTTAAAGAAGGGTATTGAGCTTCCTTTTTGCCTGTTCTACTCTCATTTCTTTCTCGATAATATCTCTGCTTTTTTTCTTTGTTTCATGTGTGATTGCTTCTCCAAATATTAATATCTATATGTTGACATGTAGGCTTTACTGGATAACAAAAAGAGCTGCGGAAAGGCAAGGCAGTGGACTGATGAAAGCAAATGCATGGCATCACCGTGCAGATGCAATTTCATCTGTAGTTGCACTTATTGGGGTTGGTAAGACTTCTCTTTGGTGGTTTTCTATTTTATCCTGTGTGATATTGGGTAATGCCTAGCTGAGTTAGTTATGAGCTGGTAAGCAATGCAAAATGGATATCATTGCTTTTGGTTTGAGGATTGCTAATTAATGTTAGTGGCTTTAGCATCTGGCTTGTTCTTTGCCCTTACATTGTTAGCTTAGAATTTGTCTAATTGGCTCTCTTCTAAATGAATTCGCACATTCAAGTTATGCTAACTATGAATATATTTTTTTTCTTGATTAAAACATTTTCTAATTTCTTCATCATGCCATTGTATCTATAAATTACTGAAATTTTAATGGCATCCTTTATGCCCCTTTTTCTTTGAAAATCTCTCTCTCACTCTCATTCTATCTTGTTGGGGGTGGTTGGTAGTTGTACTTCATGCAAGTGAAATTAAAACTTCACTGTGCTTGATTGTTTGAAGTCTGAATTATAAATTACATACTAAACTGGTTTCCACCTTCCTTCCCTGTCCCTACCCTGTACAATGTTTAAATCTTTTCTGCGGATTTCCTTAAATTGAATTTTATTTAAGTGAACAATCAATGACCTCATGCCTTGTCCAATGATCCAGGAGGCACTATTCTTGGAGTAAAGTTTTTAGATCCTCTTGCTGGACTGGTTGTCTCAGGAATGATTCTAAAAGCTGGACTGGAAACTGGATATCAGAGGTGCATTGCTTGTTGTCATTTATATACGCTCCCTTTCTCTTATTGTATGCTTTATCTTGGTGTCATTTTAGATTTGTAATTTTTCAAAGTGATTGTAGCTGTTCGGCAATTCAAAAGGTCAAAATTCAAATTGCATCAATCAGTATGGAAATAGTCAAACATACCTGATGTTTAAGGTCTAAAATTTCAATGTTATCAATCAGTATGAAAATAGGCAAACATAATGTTATGCTTTAGGTCTAAAATTTTTGCATTTATTCTTTTACTTGCTCAATGCCAGTATTTGGGTTGCAGGTTCAAGTTATCATGCTCATGTCTTCTTGATTGGTGGATTTGTAGGTCACGTGTTTTATTGGTGTTTCTTCAAGGCTTAATTTAGTTATGATCTTGTATTTTTGTATTACAAGAGTCTGATGATGTTAATAAAGTTGTGACAATTGGTTGGCTCATAAGATCATGTTTGTAGCCCTATGACAAGTTTTGTTTCGTTGGAAGTTTGTCAGTAATATCTACCAAATATTTAAGAATAGTTTGTTGTTTGATATGACCCGGCTGTAGCCTATAGATAGGTTGTTGCTTATATATAAAAAAAAAAAATCCATAGTTGACATGTTTTTTTGGCCAACTTTGAAGTGTTCTTGAACTTGTCGATGCTGCAATCCCTGCGGAACAGTTGGAGCCCATAAATCAAACAATTCTGCTAGTTGAAGGTGTCAAGGTAACTACTAAAATTTGTTTGCTTCTTTGTTTATGAAGACCAGATAAAGCACTAAACCTAAAATAAGTTTCTCAATAATAGAGATCATCAATCTTGATGCATGCACCTGGTATTTGATATTGTGATCTGTTGGCTTGTTACTACTGGTGAAATATACAATTAAGTTATGCCTTTTCCTTTCTTGGCAGTCTCCCTAAGTACTCTTTTAACAAATGTCTGTAGGGATGCCATCGTTTAAGAGCAAGGAGAGCTGGTTCTAATCTATACCTTGATGTACATATCGTGGTGAGTTTTTGGTACATTTTCTAGTGCCAGTGAAAATCGCAAGGAGAATATGATTAGAAAGTATAAAAAATTACCTCACTTTTGTTAAGCTTGCTGAGGATATGATGTTTAATAGAGCAGAATGAAACAATGTGATTCATATAGCTAACCGTAAATAGTCGGATAGCGTTTGTTGCTACTAGTACTTTATATTGTTGGTTTTTTTGCTTGACTGTTAAACTGCCTATTTGAGATTTCCTGATGCCCTTTGTGATTTTCCCCTTATTTTTGACATGTAGGTCAATCCCTTTTCTAGTGTTAGTGCTGCACATGGCATTGGTGAAAACATTCGTCATCAAATTCATGAGTCCCACCCTGAAGTGACTGAAGTTTTCATACACATAGGTACATTACTTGGTTACTTCATCACTGAATTGGTTGCAACAAATTTGTTAAGATGAGAGCTGTAATTTCACTATTTTGTGTTGAAAGATGACCATCTTTAAAAGAAAACTGATTGTTAAGGGAAAGAAGAAAAGAACTTTCCCTCTAGGTAATTACATCATTTGTCTTTTGTTGATAATTTCTTCTGACTTCCATGGACCATTTATTCTATTTTCAGCTTGATAATTTAACCTGTGGTATGGAGAAACAATTGATCTTGGAGCAAGTGATTTTTGGCCAGTGTAAATACTGAGCTAAGATGTACTTTAATGGCGATTAGCATTTAATTTAACTTTTTTTTTTGCCCTTTATAATATTGTGGTTTTAGGCATAGATATCTGATACCATGCTGAAGAGATTACTGGTTATTGGACTGTAAAATTGATGCAAGAACTGTCTTTGCATCACCAGTTGTCGGCGTCTTTGTTCTGATCAACTTTCTTTTTACCTTTTGGAAAGTGTAGATCCTGCATATATAGAGTTCTCCCCCGACGTAATGGACCAGAAAGAAAGTTCGAAGAGAATCGAGGAACGGAATAATAATATTTCTGCCAGGGAGGAAAATGTTGAAGCAATTGTTTCTAGCATATTTTCATCAAAGTTTCCAGAGGTACCTCTTCTCATTTTGTTGAGTGTTTTAAGTGTAGGCTCAATTATAAATAAACTATGCTGTGGATAAAGGTGTTAAGCACTGAAGTCGGAGTAGCAAGGTGAAATGTGGTTTGGTAAAAAAAGCTCCAGTTCTAAACTTTAACCATTGTTGGAAGGGAAATCATGAATTTTGTTTTCATCTTGTTATTTTTGCCTGTTATTCAAGCCAACACCACACTACTGCTTGGGGAAGAACTTGCTACTTTATTCTTAAAACATTTTTAATACATTTTTTTGTTGAATACATGAATTTTGCAGAAATTTATGGTTGAACGCATAACTCATCACATGTTACAAGGGAAGATATTACTGGAAGTTGAGTTTAGCATGCCCCCGGATATCATGATTCGGTACAAGCTCTCTTTCATTTTTCCTTTGGCGGTTTGTTCAATATATATGTGGATTAATTTTAAAAATATACCCTATGGTAAAGGCTGAAATGAAAATATCCCCTAGATTTAATACGTGATACTTAACTACTTTATGATTTGTTATATTGTTTTTTTTACCAAAATCTGTTATTTTTTCCGTTTCTTTTTAATTTTTTAATTTTTTTTTTTTTTCATCTAAATTCATATTGTCTCTCTAAAAATTTATTTTTTCTTCCTAAACTCAAATTAATTCTCTCTCTAAATTAAAATCATACGACGAGAGGCAAAGTGGAAGAGATCGGCTGAACATGAGGTAAAAATCAACTTTGATGGTGCTTTAAATACAGAGAGGAACGTAGGAGGAACTGTTAGGGGAGGGTCTTAGGAGCAGTGTCCATACTTGTACCAGGAATTAGGGATGCAATAATAATAGAGGAATTGCTATCTCAAAAGCGGCTGAGTTTGCTTTTGCCATGGGATGGACAAACATTGTGCTGGAGGAAGACGCGCAAGGAATCATTGGCCAGATCACTGACCAACAAGAACATAATTTGTCTTTAATTGGAAACCAAATAATGGAGGTCCAATATGGTCTAACCAAGTTTCAGAACTGGAAGGCAATGTTTGTTCAGAGAGAAGCGAATGAGGTGATGCACAAGTTGGTTAAAATGGCAGTGAAAAATGTGGAGACTTGACAGTGGCTTAATGTTTGCCCAGTGGAACTAATAGGCATTGTAACCCAAGAGGCTGTTTATAGAATTAATGGAATGACTTGCTTTTTTTTTTAAAAAAAGGTGAATCTCATAATGGGCGATTGAATTTAAACCTCAATCTAGTTGATTTATACAACAATATTTTAAAAAATAACATTCAAATAATATTTAACATGTCTGGTTTTGTTTGATTTTAGAGAGAGAATTAGTCTGATTTGAAGGAGAAAGTATGAATTTAGATGAAGAAAAAAAAGAAAATTTAAAAAAAAAAACAAAAAAGTAATTGATTTGAGTAAAAAAATAATGTAATAAGTCATAAAATAGTTAAATGTCATATTTTAAATTTTAGGGGTATTCTTTTTTTGGCTTTAATCATATGGTGTATTTATAAAGTTTATCATATATATATATATATATATATATATATATATAGGGATATCAATCTTATTCGTATCTAATGAGAAATTTGACTTTTTATCTGAATGGAGATGAGAATGTGTATTATATTGTATTTACAAGGATGGGTATGAGTATGTGTATGATTTCAAATTTTTATTAGATACAAAGATGGATAATATAATACCCATCTCGTATCTGTACCTTATATATATTTTATATACATTTAGTAAATAGATTTTTTAGTAAATATAAATTATTTTATTATATTAATTAAAATTAATATATTTTTATTGAAAAATATATTAATATATGTTTATAAAAAAATACCAAAATATACAAGATAAAAAAAATTTTAAAAATAAATTTTTATTTTTATTTTTTTTAAACGTTGAAGGGTATGGTGAGTACTCATATTCATTAAATACTTGCGGAGATGAGGATGTGAATAAATTTAAAATATTCATTGAATATAAATATGATTATAGGTATAATATAAAAATATAAAAATGAGGATGCAGAATGCTCTACCTTACCTATCGACATTCCTATGTATATTGACTTGAGGATGCGAAATACTTTACTTTACCCACTGATATCCTTATATATATCGAATACCAATTTCTTTTCTTTCCTCATTACAGTGATGCTATGGAAGCGGCGAAGGAGGCAGCGAAGGAGATACCGAATGCAGCTTCAAACATTGTTCATGTCAATGTTCAGCTAAGATTGGGAAGTCCAATTCCGCAGTTCAAGTATACATAGCAAAGTTTCAATTGTTCAAAAAACCAGGACTCTCTTCCTGTGGTGTTTTCAGTACCAATCGAAATTATACACATTGTTTTCCATACATCTTTAGCAGGAAAATTAAGAAGTAATATTTGATTTACTAAAAAGCGCTTATGTAACCCCTGCATAAACCTCTTATTGTAAGTAGTACGCATAAACCTCTTATTGTATCAAGTAATCCAAATGTTTTTATCTCAATAAGATGACTTACATAAAGCTTGAAAAAAGTGTCTGTTTAAACTCAATTGAGTCAACTTTCAACTGATTATTATTATATACTTTTTTTTTTAATTTAAAATCCAAGTTTTACATTTGAATTTTGTTCTCAAGTCCTTCTACCCCAACCCAAAAAGGCTGGTTTGCTATCTATTTATTTTATCTTTTTCTTTTTTTTTTTGTTAGTAAATTAAAGTTTCTCATGTTTCTCATTCATTCTATTTTTTTTTCATTTTACAAGCGTGTTCTAGTAGAATTTTATTCTCTTGTCACAAAGTCTTGTCTCATATATATATATATTTATGTATGAAATATGTACAAATCAACACCTTTGAGTAAGGAATACCTATTTGAATGATTACTCATATTGAAATTTACAAAATCTTCCTTTGAAATATCTAAGAAATTCCCCTTTTAATTTAATATTTTTTCATTGTTTTTGTTTTCATTTTTAATTGACATAAACCCAATGCAAGTAGAGATCGACATGAGTTGCAGACAACTTTACAAATGGTTCCTCCTGGTAATTCAAAGAATCAAGAGATTCTACTAGCTGAAATTATTCCTGCTAGTCTGTGTAGCGTATAAACTTGTAAGTTGTTGTTTACTGGCACTTCTACACTTAGCAGTCAGGGAGCACCAGCCTATGATATTTACTCTGGAATTTTGTTGCTTAATTTGTGAGAAGACCTCGATTTCTCTTCATGAATGATTAGTTTTCTTGCTTACATACCATGAATGTGTTTTTGGTATCTTTAAATCGAAGAATCTTCAGACAGAATGTCCTTCTGGTTGTTTTTTGGTTGTTTTTTGTTCACATAGACGCACACAGATATGCATATTTGTTGTTTTGTTTTAGTTGGAGAGCACAGGTTTGTAAATCATCAGTGTACTAGTTGCTATTTGACATGTAAGATGTACTAGTTTTTACAAATTTGGCTCCTAACTAAGTTTGGACATGCCATGTTGGTATGCTTACTATATGAATATTTTCAAGTAAACCTACTTGTCAGTCCTCAGTCACCCCAGCCCCTTTTATCACCTTCTTTTGTATGTTCCTTTATGGACATTAAATTCTTTATAAATAATGTTAATATTGCACCGAATGAGACAAACTGACAGTGAACTTTAATTTCTTTTCTTGATATGGATTGTTGTTTTCATATTAGGTGAGTCTCCTTCTTCTTCTGCCTCTGATGTTGATAATTTAAGCCACCCAACAACAGCAGACAAGGTTGTTTTTCCAAAAGGTGTTAGCTCTCCCCAGGTTGCTGCAAATCATGTTATTTCTGCTCGAAACCGTCCTAACTTTGTGCGCTTACTCAATTTTGTAAGTGTAATTTTGCTTGTTTATAATTTTGGAAGTGTAATTCATGCATCTAGGTATGGTACGACAGTGAAAGCTTTATTGCACACCTATGCCCCCCCAACTCACCCACACCTTTTACCCCAAAGCTGTTTTTCTTTTTGGTCTAATGCCCAAAATTTTTTTCATTCTCTCAAACCTTTTCTACTCTCTGTACCTTGACCCAAAGTCTACTGATTTCTGTATGTTGAAATTGCACATATGCCCTAGTAGCTTTGTGCTTTCAAGCACAAAAAGGTTTTGTAGTCATGCCCATGAACTATGTCTGTTGTCTTTCTCTTACTGCCTACATCATGTCATTTTGTGCATTACGGCTTGTATATCTTATTTTAGTGTAGTGACCTATCATAACCAAAAGCAAATGTGATGATTTACAGGCACAGGATGTAAATTATGCTATTGAAGCTTCAAGGAAATCACGAATTGCTTTTGGAGTTGCTAATTCAAGTTTGGGAGGGGCTGAAAATGGGGAGGTTATATCTTCTGTGAAAAAAGCTCTTGATTTTAACTTCCAAGACTGTTACGCTTGGTACGTGTGGCAATGGAAGCCATTAGCCATTAAGAAAACAAATCTGGTTGGTGAGGATGATTTTATACTAGGAGGAAATTTCATTTTGATGGTATATCTTTGGGTATGAAGTCCTAGAGGACAAAAAGAAAAGGGGAAGGGCAGTTCTTCCTTCTGCGAAAAACTGGCAAGTGCCTGCTTTCCAAAACTCACTGTACATGTGTGACAAGATAAATCTGGGATTTTCAGTATATTCTTTCACAAGCTGCAACTGCATTCTGACTTGGGACAAGCCCTGTTAATTTCCTTCTCAAGTTGGTATTGAAGACTTGTGATTCATAAGGTTTATATGTGAAAGTTTTCTAAGTTGTATAAATAGGTGATTATGCTCAAAAAGAATTGTGGTTGAAGAAATAATTTTGTATAAAGATAGAGAAGCCAACAATAGTAGATTGAGGTGGATTGATAGAAATTCCAATAGTAGAGTTTGCCATTATTTTGGCATCAGTGTTCCCTGGAGGGAGTTTTAGTTCACCTGACTAATTAATTTGTTAATGCTATTTTACTTGGAGACCTCTTTAGGAAATACAGTGATATACAGCAGCATGTGCTTGCTCTTTTGCCATAGGGACTGCTGTTTTCTCATTTCAAGCACCATGAAGCAAATCACTGTAGTTGGCTTTCTCAGGTTTGCTACTCGTCCTTAAAAATAAAATTTGCTACATTGAGTTAATTTTCTTTCCTTTTTCCTTGTCCTCATCCTTTTCCTTTTCCTTTTTGATTTCTGTTTTCTGTATTCTTTCATTTTTACCATCATTATTTGTTTTTGTGCAGGTCAGCTGCTGTAGTACCTGTCATGGTATATACTTATGATTAATCAAGATGAGTTGAAAGAATACAGGCCAAAAATATTTGGTGCAAAATCACCGTGGTAGAGATCCAAACAAGGTTGCAGAAATTCCTTTTTTTCTTCCCTTAAAAGGTTGGTGTAATCTTTGTTGTTTATTTGATTGCTTCATGTTCTGCTCTAGTGCTTTGGCATACAGTTGCTTCTAACCGTTCTTATTTTTATGGCAGTAAATATTTATGTATCATAAACATATCTTTGAGTGGTTCTCAATTTGGAATGTGGCAAGTGCTATTGTCTTCAAGTTGGCCATCTTGTTGCTGATAGGGAAAATCTCTTTCAGGAGCCATTATTCTTCATTTATTGAATGGCTATTCTCTTCTAAATTTCTTGCTACAAATTGTTGGACTTAGGAGGGGCAAACAGTTTTAATAACTCTCATTAGTGGACTAAGATGTCCTCGCAAGTAACCGCTACAGGAGTCTATAAAATATGCTGATAATTGGCCTTTCTTCAAGGAGGCCTGATGATGCTGGCTGCAAGTGAGGTACCTCAATGGAGTTTGAGCTGTAGCTTAACTCCAACCACCATGGGCATAGTGGTAAACAGAGCCAGTAATCTAAATTCATGTCCATATATTATTGGGAACCTTAACCTTTTACTGTGTGACACCATCTGGCTGACTCATTTGTATACATTAGGAGAGTAACTTATGAAGCAAATTTTGAAAAATATGAGATCATTCAATGATTGAATAGGTGACTCGCCAGTGAACAAATTAACATTGCATTAATGAGTGTTGACACATCTGTTTGTTGAATTTAGCAGTTGATGTTGTGCTGCACTCTCTGGATCTATTTGTTAGCCTGTTAGACACTTTGATGAGTACTAATTACCCAACATCATTTGATTTCAGGTTGAATAATTTGGGCAGCTGCATGAACAGCGACGCTGTCTAAGGATCGATGGCGAAATTGCTCCTTGTCCGCCCTCCTTTCAACCCCTAAATATCTCTGTTGCTAATCTATAGGTAACATTTATAGGACAATTTTGACCCTTTCTTTTAAATCATTACTGCTCTTCTTTTCCGAATGTACATAGGCATAGGCATAACAATGACATTTCTTATTCAAAGTCTCTTCATCAATAAAATTGGAGCCGCGTTTGGTTATGTATCTCGGTAACTTTGACCTTCCACATTTGATGGATTTTTGTTGTGTTTATCAATCACTTTCAAGTCATATTTATGAAAAAGTAGAGTTATAATATTCCACTTATGATTTCTAGAAATATATATATATATATATATTATTTAGTTACATTAATTTTATTTTTTTAAATTATTCTTTCTTTTTCTTACTTTTATTCATTAAAAGCAATTATAAAATCATATCTTTATTTAATAAATAATTAATAAAAAATAAACATTTAATTTTCAAAACATACCAAACAAATTTTATATCATAAATATCTTCAGTTTTTTTATCTAATAGTTAAAGAAGGTTTAGGTCCTAAAACGAAAATTTGAATCTCATTATTCTAATGGAAAAAAATTTTATATAATAAATTATTTAAATTTCTCAAAATTGAAAATGCATACTTGATTCAAAGATTGTGCAGTCGTTGTCATAGATTTGTCGTAGACAAACCCTTTTAACCCACAGGGAGAATTTTTTTTTATGTTGAAAAAATTAAAGGTAGAAAGTCAAATGGTAATGGATTGAATCAAAATAAGTTTTTGTTCGAAAATTTGATCTAATTTTATATATGAAATACTTAAATTCAATTTGATTGAATTTTAAAATATTATTTTATATTTGACCCAACTCGAATATGTATAAAATCGTAATTGATTTGACTTGAAATTAATAAAATATTATTTTTAAACATAAATATAAAATTAAAAAATATTTATATATATTATATTAGGTCAAAATGTATTTATCTAAAACTCAACTTGACTTATTTAAAAAAAAAAAAAATTAATCCAACCTAAAACCTGATTAAAAAAAATCTTATTTTATAAGGTCGGGTCAAAACTCGATGAATTCGAATTAGACCTACTATGTTAAACTACAAATTATGTTAGACTTGAACCTAATACCACTTACATCAAGAAGAATGATCCTATCATTTGAACCTACTATTTACCTACTATTAATGAAGGATAAAATATTAATTTGAGATGTGAAAAAAATTCAAATGTAAATAATAAAAATGATAACAAATTGGGTTGAATCAAATTTTTGTTTATGTCGAATTTAATTCAATTTTATATATTAAATACTCGAATATAATTGGATTTGATTTTAAAATATTATTCTCATACCCAATTAAATTCGTGTACCTATAAAATCGTAATTAACTCGATTTAAAATTAATAAAATGTTACTTTTTAATATAAAATATTATTTTTAAATATAAATATAAAATTTAAAATATATATAAATATATAAATATAAAATTAAATAAATAACAAAAAATATTTATATAATATTACTTTTTAATATAAAATATTATTTTTAAATACAAATATAAAATTTAATATATATATAAATATATATAAATATACAATTACATAAATAATATATATATTCATATTTAGATCAAGATGAATTTACTTAAAACTCAACCTACTCTAAGTTTGACTTTAAAAATAAAAATTCAACCCAATCTAAAATCCAACTAAAAAATCCATTATTTTATAAGATCAAATTAGATCGATACCTATCAAATAAAGTCTAAGTTGAATCCCTATAAAATCAAGTTGAAAATCCGATCAAAATCCAATAAATTCGAATTAAATTATCAATCTTAATCCTAATAAATACGTTGCTCAATCCCTCAAATCAAATCAAAATATATCATACCCAATAACATAAAAGAACAACAAAACCACTTACGTCGAAAAAAACCCGATCCTATCAATTGAGCCTACTACCGATAAAGGATAAACAAATATTTCTTACATGTTTACAAATACTTCCGTAATTTTAAGTTTGGTTTTAAATTTTATTAGTAGTACAATGTCTGGATCTAGCATTGTCCATTGCTACCAGATTTTTATGGAAAAGAAACTATTTTTTCTCAAAAAGTGAACTACTAATGGTAATATTAATACCAATAATAAAATTTAAATAGACAATTAAAACTTTCTTGAGCTTTACATGATACTACCCAAAAAAATGCAGGATTTCAGTGGAGGATAAATCATCTCTGACTGCACCCCTACCCATGTACCATTTGCAAAGACCAATTTTAGGCCAAATACCTATACATGTTTGGATACTCCTTGTGTCTCTCCAGATAGTCTCGTGTGATTAGATCTTCCATCCGCTTTTTGATGGCTGTAATATCTGGCTGCAAATTCCAAGCACATCATAAGAAGCTTGTGGCAATTTGACCCCCAAAAATAATAATAATAATAATAAGACTTGGTTGTCGGTCATTTTGGTGCTAAGAAACTCCAATCACTACCCTTTGTTTCATCTCTTTTGCTTTCACATTAAAGGACCAATCACCTATTTACTTCCTTCTATTTCCATGCATGTGTTTGATCACATACACCTTCGAACATCAATATTCTTATCCAATGTGATAACCCCATTCACCCCATTTCATCCCTTTTCGTTTGAATAAAAATCCATCACCTATTGTGACTCGGATACAAGCATCATGTAAAGTGCAAATGAATATGAGATCCCAACCATTTTTTACCTTTCTACCCAAATCTCATAGTAGACCTTGTCTTCTAACTTTTTATTTTTTAAATGATTATTCTCATAACTGACGTTTCTCTCATAAACTACACATGAAGGGTTGGCATATATAAATACCTTGAACATGCGACTCAACTGCTCAACACACTCTAAAACTAATTGTTGGTGGCCCAAAACTTTCCTGCTCTTCATTATGCGCACAATTGCGGCATCAATAGCATAACGCCGATCTTTATCAACATCTTCAACAACTTTCTTCCTTTCAACCACAGGAGGGAGAGGAATCTACATAGCATAATTTACATGTTTATTTCCAAAGCTAAAAACTTATCATCCCAATAGATACTGCAAGCAACAATAATATAAAAGAGAGAGTTGCAAAAAATGTCCCAGACCTTAATCCTCCTCAACTTGTCAGTAAACTTAGAGTTGAACTCAAAGTAGTCACTCTGGGAAATCGTTTTAGTGTTTGGCTCTTTACTTAGAATCTTATACTTGGCACATGACAGCGAATGTAGTAGTCTGACCAAGTCATCATGGGTCAAGTTCAACTGAGCCATGATCTCTGAATAGCTCAGCCGATCAGAAGCATTAAAAAGCAGAAGGACAGCAGCCTGTTCACATAGGCAACTGAAAATTAGATTTCACAAAGTTCGAAGCTGAACACCAGAACCGTCAGATAAGAATCCAACCCAAATCACAAATTTTTAATTTAAAAAGTGCGCGGTCATTTTACCTGATAAGTTGAAACAATCAATTCTATAGTTTTTTGCTCGAACTTGCCATTAATGTGGCAAGTTCCCAGTGAGTATATCCATGTAAGCTTTCTGTGTTTTGTTTTTGTTTCATAAAATCCTTTGAAAACTTCCACACATTTGACCTGAAACAATGATATTCCCAAGTATAAATAAAATTTCTGAACACAAGCTGGAGTAAGAAATTTAATACTGTCATCATGCAATAACATGTTCAAAGTCATTATTACCATCTCAGCAGGGAGATTGAGATCAAATGATTTATAACTTGGCCAGAATCCTGTGGTAAGAACAGTAACTGTCAAGTCAATCCCTGGATGTGCAGCAGAGTTATTCCTAAGATAGTCCTCAAAG